CAAAATATGAAAAAGGTTTCCTGTTATATTCAGCAGAAACGTTTACATGTTTGATTGTTATTGGCACTAGAGGCTTGCTGTTTGGGCTTTACAAATGGACAACGACTTTTGGGGAGAGGAATATCCCCCACTCCAAACTCACTGTCAACTCAAGTCAGTATCGTATCTAATGTGTCCAATCCACAATCACAGCTTTGCGAATTTTTGCCTTTGGTTCTTTACAATTTATAACAGGCGTCTATCTCAAACCTGGATTCCAGATGAGGAAACCCCCCCGAAAACAAAAGTATTTAACATGTCCCAATAAGTGCCATGATGTGCTGTAAAAGATAGACTAACATTAGTAAAATTATGTAACGGTTAGTATGGACACTCATAGATGACAAAATGAAAAATTGTAAACACATTATATTAAAAACATCAGTTATTTAGACTATTTTGAAGAAACACTTGCTTATAGCACCAACATTTCTGCCCCAGTTATGCGAAGTAAGAACAAACTAGAATGTTCACAGTTTCCTAACAGTACATTTATGCAGCAAATTTTCAACTTCTCACTTTGACAGGGGTCTAAATTCGTTCTCATTGGCTGCGTCGCCCTGATGCGACAAAGAGACTCCAATATCTGATTTGGTTGTAGCGTTTCCTGTCAATCCGCGACGCGGAACCAGCTAACCAGCGGAGCGCCTCTTGCGTTGCTAAGGTAAGTTAAAGCCTACATCGGACTCACCGCATTTGACCAGGGAAGTCAGGGGGGGAGGGGAGTTTTCCTTCAAAATAAAAGCATTGAGGCCACTTTGGGCGAAAATAAATGAGTGTATGTGGGGGTGCAGTTTTGCGCGTTTCTATTGAATGGACAACCCTGGGCGAGACCCCGCCCTTCGAGGGGGCCCCCCCCCGCAATAAAGAAAATCCAACAATTTCTGTTTATGTGTTTATTATACAACATAAGTGGGAGGCAGAGAATTAATTTTCTCGATGGCACAATCCTTCATCAGAACAATTTTGAAAGATAATGAACACAGGTTCTGCACCAAATATGCAGTATAAGTTATCAGAACTTAGAGAACCACAAGCGACATCCATAAAATATACCTAAAGTATACATAATGTGGCCAAAAACTTATATATAGTACATATTATAAAAGTAACAAGGAGCAGGGGAGAGCAACCAATAATATTTACAAATATGTACAAATATAATCTACAATCACTTTGGGTGCCCATAATCGTTTTTGTATACCTATTTTTTGGTAAGCCATTCACACAATTAGAAAAACAAAATGTGCATGAAACTTAGCCCTGTATTTATATACATTATGAATAAATGTGCGTTATTTGGGGAAGAAAGTCGAGGTGTAACTGACTTACAGTGGATCCCCCGTTCCCCCCTTGTCCGTTCCATTAGGGAGACCCAGAGGTGAACTGTCTATATTCCATTTCTGATAATAGAGCTTCTTAAATGTTACACACTGGAATTTTAATAGACATCAATCGGAATGGAAAAGGAGACGAATATTGACATTATAGGCTTACCGCCTGTGTTTTTTTAATAACAAAAATGAATAAATATTTTTTTTATTATACATTAATAATATGTATATAAATAAAAATATATGAAAAATATATAAATTTAGATAAATCATATGTTATATCTGTTTTCTATGGTTGAAATTGTGGTTCTACGCTATAAAAATGTATTGTGGACGATTGTATTATTTTGAAAGCTACAAACGGAGGTCTGATTTGTCATTGTGGCTAGCTTGTTCCTGGTACTTAAAACAGTTGGTGATGCTGTCAGTTCATATGGCTAACGCTGCCGTACAGTACCTGCTTAAAGAATAAAGCGATGTGGCAGCTTGAGCATAGCGCTGTCTTTCTATCAGGAGAAATTCCCGACGAATGCACAGTCACTGTTTCACGGAAAATGAAAATACATGGAGTCATTTGAGAGCCATGCGTTTTCTCCCACAGTTGGCAGGCAGGTATTTTCCTACAGCCAGGCGTCGCATTGGGAAAGCATCATTCCGTTCGGCACCGCCGCTGGCTGCTGATGTAGCATGAATGCTAGCTAACTTATGTTCATGTTTGTATTTATCCGTGGAAGCGACGTTAACAGGAAGCCTTAAAGGGGGGTTTAATTCCAGGAATTGTCGCCTCATGGGGAGCACATACACGTCCCTCCATAAGTCAGAACCTCCAGACAGAAACTCTGAGTGACTGTTTCGTGTCAGCAGACATTTCCTGAACCGCTGTGGGAACAAAACGCGGTGACAGTTCTTTTCAAACTCGACGTTAATTCGTTTGAAGTGCGGTGCGCCCTTTCCCTCTGCGTTTTGCCTTGTATGCAGGTCAAGAAAACTTCAGGTATGGAATGTCATGCAGGGTAAAATCATGTGGACCAGCACTTCAGACAGAGGACCGACCCAGGTCTGTCACCCTGGACCGATCAGAGAGTGTTAACCCGGGCCAGAACCTTCAAACCTGACCGCTCCAGCACCATGGGACACTAAACCAGCTTTTCTACATCGCCTGCGAGGAGGACTTCACTGCTTCTGTCTCCAGCTGTGCATTGGAACCTAGTCATGACAGGGCACATCTGTCAGCTAAAGGATGTGGACAAGACAGAAGTAATACACAAGCTAACATGCACAATGTATTAGAATCTGGAGTGCTTGGATGACTGTACATACGCATGTTGATGAGGCATTGCTGCAGGAGACCTTGGGATTACCTTTGGTACAGAGAAACCTGTGATCACATGATTTAATTGTGCTAAAATCAAATACTGCGGAATTAATCTTTTCCTCATTCATTTGTATGGACCCAGAGCCCCTGGATACTCCCCCTCTGGTGGTCCCTGGACCAAACTTTGAGAGCCACTGGATCAGAGCTCTTGTCAAAACCCTTTGTGTTTTCTGCTGTCGCACTAAGAAGGAGCTTTTTGACCATGCACTAAAGACTGAGCTGGAAGCCTTAGAAAGAGTCAAGTTTACACGGAGTCAGCCATGCCTATAAGGAAAAAAGGTGAGTTTCTGTGTGTGCCACAGGTATTGAGAGCTTCTGCTCCTCCAGCATCTTTGTAAATACCAAATGTGAACGACACTGCAATCAACGGTTTATAGTAACAGTCTGAACTCAACCTTCTGGTTTCCATTAGCCTCAATATACATAGGCTACATAGGATACAAAAGTATATGAACATGAGTCCAGATGGACAACAGTCTTTAGAGCCTGACTGATAGAAGAGGTCAGTACTGGTTTTAGAGGGGAAAGGTTCAGATTCCCCATATGACAGTCGGTATGTGGACTGTGCACCATTGTGAATCTGCAAAGGTACTCAGACGGCTGAATAGCTTTATTAAAGAATATTTAAGTTAAATAATGTAACACATTGTCAACCAACTGACATTGCTGAGAGCTGCTTCTTCTCCCTTACTCTGTGCCACTTGCCACAGTGTTGAAAATCACAGCACATACTTTTGGATAAACCAGCAAACATTTTACTCTGCATTATATCCCGGGAAAAAAAGGTTTAATTTTGGCGCATATGAAATAGCACATATCCTGAAATGTTATTGATTTGTCTGCAATAGGTCAATCTAGGCTGATAATATCGGCCAACCAGTGTCAGGCCAAATTGATACATGATGAATGTATGTAAAACAAACCTGTCTTGTCTGCCCCTCCTCTGCAGACACAGCTCGAGCCCTGGGGCTTTTGGAGGAGTACTGCACTAAACTGAGGAAGCCGGAGGAGCTGCAGCTCAAAACTGCCATTCAGAGAGTAATGGGGATTTTCAAAAGCAACCTGTTTGAAGCTCTTCTTGGTAAGTCGGTGAAGCACAACCAACCCCATCAAGCTACTGGTATTTTCTGTCAACTTCATATTGTAGTGGTGTTCAGAAAAACAGTACTAAAGGTATATTTGACTGCATGGCTGGCTCTGTTCTGCTAGCAGTACCAGTGTTAATAGAACATTTTAGTTGCACATTACAAAAGGGAAGAGAGAGAGAGAGAGAGAGCTTTATATGTGTGTTTCCTCTGTGTGTACATGGCTGTATCTTCATTGGGCTGCAGTTTTATCAACTATGATAACTTGCTGCCCTGTTTTGCTCTTTCTGAGTCTGCTGAATGTGTGTTCAACCTGTGTTGGAACTGTTAACATGAGTCAGCATATGAGTCACAGGTTTAACTCTGGTTAGCGGAGACTCCAGTCTGCAGTGTAGTTCATACACCAAACTTACACTGAATTACTGACAGAAGATCCAAATAAAGTTTTAAAGGAGCAGTGTGATTAAGTGGCATCTACAGGTGAAGATTCAGTTTACAACCATCTTGCTTCACCCACATTTTTCAATTCATTCATTAATTTTTTTTTTAACTAAAAATATTGTGTACTTACAGAACTAAATAAAATAAAATAAGAATATACAGGAAATATATATAGTTTTAGTCAATTTGGTCAGATTTGTCAAACATCAGGAGGCATTAAATTTGCATTGTCAATATGTTTATTAAGACTGAGTCAATGTGTTTGTAACATCTCATAGTCAACTGAAGTTGTTTGGCAGTACAGCAGATATTAGTATTTACATGATATGTGGCTCCGTTCTAGAGCTGCACGTTGTCACCGGGTACAAGGTAACAGAGGATTGTTGCAACACAGACCTTTTCTCTTGTAACACAGGAAGTCACTTATCGATGCTCTTTTGCACATGCTGACTGTGCTAGCTGCTGCCACTAGCTAGTTAGTGGTCCTATTAGCTGTGTGTACCTGGACGGGGAGCTCAAAGGACATGGGGAGTTTTAATTCAATTCAGTTCAATTCAATTTTATTTGTATAGCGCCAATTCATAACAGAAGTTATCTCAGGACACTTTTCAAATAGAGCA